ACACATGCCAGTGCAGCCGCATGTACACTTCATTACCGCGATTCAGTTTAACATAGGGTTACAAGGCAAGCACCACAACTCAACAACAGCCGTCAGTTAGCGGTGAAAGACAGAGGGGGGCGCAGTCACTGGTAGACTACCGGTCAGGACTCCTGCGAATCAAAGAATGTCAAAGTTCGAACAAAGAATCGACATGCTCATCGACAAGCACTGCCACCGTGAGATAGCTACTTGAAGGAGTTTTCAAGAGTGTGTTATATTATTGGGGCAGATGGACCGCTGCAGTGTGGTTCGTTTGAGCTCACTGACAGCCCGATGAAGAAGTTGGAGAATCATAGATTAAAGTACTTGAATTGCGAATTTGCACTGCGGCTACTTGCCATGGGCACTAGTAACATATATGTAAGGACGGAAACGTTAACGTTTGCCATGATCCCGCGGAACCAATTCGCGTCCACCTCGCGCCTGAGCTCCACCTGCATTCCAATCACTCAAACGCTCCCGATCGGAAGTAGTTGCATTATGCACATTCATTAACTTCCTTGTCACAGTGCTGCGAATATCAGGCAAGCCAGGCCCTCAATCATTGTACATTTTACTGATGCCTACCAGTAAAAATACAAATAGTGAACAAGATGCGTGCGATACACCCCAAAGTGACATCCAATAATGCGCTTACTAGTAGTACTTTTCTGCATCTTCTTCTACCTCTTTGGAGTGATCCAAGCTACACCTACAACAAATACAACAAATACAACTACTGGCGACAGTTTTAAAGCCCCCATCATTCACGACAAGAAACTCGATGGACAATCGTCTCCAGCTCCGTTCTCACTATATTTGCGTGTATCTACACCGCCATTCACCCTAATATTCCGAGTCCCAAAGACAACACCCTTCATATCCTACGGCGGGCGACTTGGGATCATGATAATGGCACTTCTCGCTCCAGAACTAATTGTCGCATGGGCTATGCGTCAGTCGTTCAGTGCTCGTCAGGTTACAAGACAGTTCAAGGAATCGGGGTATCCCAGCGTGGTCCGAAGTCGGAGTCTCATGAAGGCGAGTTGTACCTTTGGAAATTCTACATCTCATAACTTACAACACATGTCCCTTAGAAAAGGAATCTGTTGAAGTACCTCAGCCTCGCCTTCTTCGCTTCTTTCGCCTCCATCGCATCTTTCACCTCCCTCACTTCTTTCGCCTCCTTCTCACAGTGCTTGCTAAATGTGCATTATTTGTGCCGGCGTTTCTCTGGCATTTCCCTGGTGCTCTTATGAGGTGGGTCAAGGGGTTGGCTAAGGCTGATCTCTCAGAGAAATCTGAAGGTAAGCCCAAATCGTGCTCATCCAAACGCTGATTCATGTGCATCCTTAGATTATACGTGGACTCAGACACACAGCCTCTTTGTGCTGATGGGTGGTTTCATGCTTTATGTGGACGGGAACCCCTACCACACACTACAGCCTGACGAGATCCTCATGCTGATACGTGACAGGTGTATCGACGCCCCTACCCTGACAGCAAACCAGATCCAGGACAGGAGCAAAGGCAATGCGATATCGAAAGGATTGGTCATCATTCAAGTGGCCTGGTTTGTTATGCAACTCATCACCCGCGCCATCTATCACCTCGAAACCACCCAGCTCGAAGTGGGGACACTCGCTTTTGCGGTTCTCAATTTCCTAACTTATGCTGTGTGGTGGAACAAGCCTCTCAACGTGAAATGTCCACATCCAGTGTACTGGAAGTCGACCGAATCAAGGCCAGAGAATTACATTGAGTACGTATACACGTTAGCAATTATACCGCTGCTGATTATGTCTGCCTTAGTACCAGTGATAGAGATGAACTCGCTCGGCTTGGGATCTTGGCTCCAGTTTCCGCCCAATTATAGAACTGTCGGGCTTGCTCAGTGCTGTTCCTACATCTCGAAAGCTCCGAGTTCTAACATTTGATGGCAGCATCAAACTCGAAGATTTGGACACGGCGGTTCTTTGCTTGCTGGGTTGCTCATGGCAACCACATTTGGCGGCATCCATTGTGTGGCTTGGACTTTTGCCTTCCCCACATACTTGGAACACTTGCTATGGCGCATCAGTGCCGTCGCTATAACTTGCACACCCTGGCCTTGTATTTTCACTTTATTTATCTTTAACGTCCTGGACATACCGACTGCGGTGTACCTTATTGTCTATGCATTATATGTCACGTTGTACGTTGCAGCACGTGGCATCCTCTTGGTACTTATGTTCACCACTTTGCGCAAACTTTCTCCTGACGCATACATCGTGGTGTCGTGGACTAGTTTAGTGCCGCACTTATAGTTCTTGATCATGGTACTTGTGATACACTTCATACTTTTGTAATGATATTCAGATGCGGCATTCTTGTCGTCGACGGAGCTAGGTACACACTACATAGTACATAAGTTGTTGCGCGACCGCTATGAACGACGTTTGGCATGACGCGAACCGAACAAACTTGAACAAACTCGCAGTGCTCAAGTCTGCCTTGCACTTGCTAATCAATTAATCACCATGGACGGCAGCTGTTTGGTACGGCAGATCGGCGGCAAACAGATGATTAATGAGCAGGTAGCAGCTTTCCCGATCGACCAGGATACAGCTACCTTCAAGTTTGGGCGCGACCCAACATGCAGCGCCCGTCTCTGTTATACAGAGGTCAGTGCTCTGCACGCGGAAATTGTGTTTCTGGAAAGACAGGTGCGTAACTTATTTGCCTATAATACCTACACGCACTGATATCTTTAGAAATAAATCATGTGCGTTGGCAGGCTTTCAATCCTCGTCGCCTTTGGCAAAGCATGCCTCTCAACAGACAGTTGTGGAAGGAGTGAAGGTTTAAGGAGGAGAGCGTGGGGGCCAGGTTGGGAAGGACGCTAATGAGTAAGAAGACGAACAAAGAAGGTAAGCACTTTTTTCTTTGTTGAAGCTGGGACGTCAGATATGTGGATGACATGGAGTGTTTTGGATAGCATTGAGAATTGATTCAAGCTTTTATAAGCTGATATAGGTAGGCGCATGAGGAGCTTATCACATTTGCTCAGATCCTTCCATCGCCTGCCTCTCCTCGCTCCCCTTTCCTTGGCGCAGTCATTTGCGTTGACAGGCTTTTAATCGTCGTCGCCCTTGGCAAAGCACGCCTCACTATCGACGGCTGTAAATGGAGTGAAGGCCAGACTCTGGAGGGCACGAGTGAGTGAATAGGAGAAGCTGGTGAGTGCATAGCTTATTTTTTCGAGGTGGGGAGTCGGACATGCGGGCAATGGGAGTATACAGCCGGCGTTTTGATTCGATTCGATTTTTTGGGAGTTGATACAGGGTGCATATACGTGAGCACACGGGGAGCTCGTCCTCTTCCTTGCGCATCATCCGCCAACCTTCGCTTCCCTTTCCCTGCCCAACACTAAATTTACTGGTGATCCATCCCCTCTTGGATCGTCTTTGACGTGCCGACTTACCAGGACTGGGAAATGCACACGCCGAAGGAAGCATAGGTGGTTATAGAGATGCTCAGTCACTATGATATGCACGAAGGACGCGCAAGACTAACACCAATGGCCGCCCCAGGACTGCTAAGAAAGAAGAGTCGTGATCTGCTGAAACTCCTCACTGAACCCACGACCCAGTTTGACGGTAGTTGGCCGAAGAATTAAATCCTGTCGTTGAACATGCGTTAGCCCTGGATTCATCACTGTCAACTGCGCGGAAGGTATTTATCGTTGACGCTATTAGAACAGACGCTCACATGTATATGTACACGTTTAGTTGGGCCTCATCAAACCCATTCTTGAGGCGCCAGAAAGCCTTCGATGATGTGGCGATCGACTTGAGGGTGCCGATGAGTGGATACACTGACAAGGTGCGGTTCATTTAGGTAGAATACTCCGGGTGTCTCAAAGGGCGCCAGTTATTCGGGCATATACAATTGGACCGTGACAACCGCTCGCCCAAGCCATGAAGAACTGTAATCAGCACGAAATTTCATAGGCTACTCGTGATAGCTTCATTGTCAGGGTGTGAGAGATTTCACTTGTAAATCTCGTCGCAGGTGTGCAACAAATGCGCCAGTCTCAAAGTCCCAGTTTCGAATATAGATTTGATCTGAGGAAGTCGACAAGTGAGTGGCACTGAGTTACATGTAAGTTATGATACGAGTAGGATGCAACTTGCGATCGTGCAAGTGAGAAACTACCAGAATATTCAACTCTACTAGGCTAAGGATATTGTCGCAACATTCATCCGGCCGCATGAAGTCTGGTTGTGTTCTATGCATATTAAAAGCTCACCAGGTGGAATTATAGTAGTAGATAAAAGCCTGCGATTTGAATAATGAAACATTGCTTTTCAAGTCGAAGGCATGTACTGACGTGCATCATTACCAAGGGCCTTTGGAATCTCTTGCGTATGCTGCAGTAGTGTAAGCTGGGAACGGTGGGGGTCGACACATGCTAGTGCCGCATGTACTTCATTACCGATGGAGTTGTATATAGGGTTACAAGGCAAGCACCACAACTAAACACGGCCGCCAGTTAGCAATGAAAGACAGAGGGGGCGCTATTACTGCCAGTGAAGACCCCTGCGAACCAAAGGCGCCGAAGTTCGAACAGAGAATTGACGTGCTCATTGACAACCATACAACTGTGACATAGCAAGGAGTTTTCAAAAGTGTGTTACATTAATATTGTTGGAGACAGATGGAAGTTTGGTTCGTGAGCCACATCGTAGTCCTATATGGCTAGTCATAGCCCGATCGAGAATCGGAGTCGAGAATTGAGATAAATAAATTATATGAAGCACTTGATTCATTGTGAATTTGCACTAGTACTGCTACTTATGCACGATTATTACTTCGAATTCGAACCCATATGTACATCCGCTTGTCAGGCTGGCGAGCATATTGGCATACTGCCTTAAGATGAAGCCCCCTAGTAAACTAGACTTTGGCTGACAGAGCCTTGAAGATGATACACACAGTATACGCTGAAGCAGTGCAGACTCAAACACCGTCAAGGAGCCGATTCGTCGACCAGGTACGTGGCACTCTTTCTGCTCGAGTTCCACTGCGCCCACACTGACAGATGAGAACACGCTACGGAAGTTGCCTTCCATATGCCTTAAACACGCCATATTCTTAATTTTATCGTGCATGTGTGCTAACTTATGACTGTATTATCGATAAAGGTGGCAAGGCTGCAGGACTAGCGTCTATCGTGCCGATCAGCCACTAACAATATGGTATTACACTCACGTGCAGCTTGCCCTGAACCCAACAGCCCGTTAGAAGTTCCTTGGTCTGCGAATTCTCTCAGACAGTAAAATGGACACACTGAAATCTGCCGAAAGAACTGTTCAACCATATGCCGCATCAACAAAATCTAGCCAAGTTTCTCGTGCTGTGTGGTGGAGCGGTGAACTTGACCATGACATCTTGAGAAGCCCAACTTGAGTATTTCTTCGTCACATCAATCTGCTAGAGCGAGAGTCATCTGTGCGAATAACACATCAGGAAAAATCTCCTAAGCTAATTAGATGTTTTTAGAACTAATGTTCCATCATTATGTCTAAATCATACAAATTCAAAGTTTTAGCTGTTTAGATCGCTTATTTTACCCCTTAATAAAAAGACGAGAATTAGAAGTTATTCAAGCAAATTATCATGCATTGTAGAGTTAATTTGTTTGATTTTAGATGGGTGGATGATCAGATCCGACCAAATCAGACAGCATTACAGGGGGAAAAAACTAGTCTTTGATTAAAAATGGGTGTATGGGTAGGCTAATTTGTATGCTATGACCAACGACGGACATATGACAACAGTAACTAGTTTCGCAAATGCTTCCAGCTCGCTAGCGTGGCTACTAGCAGCGCCGCTATACATCAACTTCCTACAAGCAAAGTAAGCACAAGCCTGAAGCAGAGGACCTGAATGTGGAGAGCGGTTAGTAGGGGAGCATGTAACACCTATGAAAATGAGTGCTCGAGCGTTGAACAACTGTTGTGCATCCGTCTTAGTAGCGGTAGCGAGAACGAAATGAAATGATAATTTTTGGGTGGAAGCCTCGATAGCGGCCGATTTTAAAGTAGTGAGGTGTGCTGCTACCTAAAGTGGGCGGTGCGGGTGGAGCTGCGTTTTTGATCTGTTCTTTGGTTCCCTCGCCATTTGTTTCTTACTCCTCGTCCTTGGACGCATCTTTGCGTACCATTCCCATGCAAGCCGAATGACTTCACCGTCGGCGTCGAAGGTGTTGGAATTTCACTGTATCCTGGGCGTGCCGTTGGGTGGCGAACGTATATGGCACTGCATGTGGAGAAGGAGACCTCTGCATAGGCAGGAATGAAAACGAAGGGAGACGCATATGGAGGAAGGTTGAAAGGTGTCAACGAGGACAGCGTAGACTCAGGGTCCTGGAGGGAAACGAATAGCTGCAGGGTCAACGGAGACCACATCGCCTGGGGCTAGACGTGCGTCGGCATTCGTATGCTGTAGATGCGCATTAGTATATCGAAGCTGATACCAGGCGCACCTTTTTGCCATTTAGCAGGACAGATCCATGAACGACGAGTCTCCGTGCCTCATAGACACTATGAGGCGAAGCAGCACCGAAAAATGAACACGTCAATGCGTCGCTCCACCTAGGCAACCGTGGTACGCACGTACGAGTGCTTTCGAGATCCAACGCTGCTGAAACAGCGTCTTAGGCGAGCGAGTGAAGTCAATGGCCTCGGCCTCGGCACCACAGGACCGCCTCCAGAGGTTGTAGAGGTTACGCGGAGACCAGCTCTGTTAAAAATATTGTCTGTTTAGGTTTTAGCTGAAGATAATAGCTATGGAACTTACCATTCGAGGCATGGCCTTCCAAAATGCAAAAATGTTGGCGTCCCTCATGGTGGGGTTTGGAAGACTGCCGAAAATAGTGTAACGGTAGGCGTAGTCGAAGTGTCTTGAGTCACCTAGGGTCACGAAAGTTTCGAAGAGAAAAAGAAAGGCAAAGAAAAGAAAAGAAAAGCAGGAAGAAGGTTTAAACTTGCTGGAGCGTGGCGTGAGCACTGCGTGGCGCGGAGACAAGAGAGGCCATGTGCTGCAGAGGGAAGGCAGGCTTTGGTGGAGAAAGACGATGGTAGCCATAAGAGGGCGTAGGCGCCAAAAATGTACCTTCAATCACCAGAGAAGGACGAGTGGAGTTTGGTGCAGTGGACGGTGCATGCACTGATGAAGCTTCAAGACTTGGAAGTTAGATGAGTGTAGAATCCAGATGCGGCGTGGCGCAAGTTGGGTGAAAAATGGACTGTTGAATTCAAGCGTGGGAGCTCTATAATTATTAATTTAGGTGGTTCGATTTTCAAAATTTTCAGTGTGGAAGGCGCCGGAAGGAACCAAAGCGTTGTTCTTTTCCGCAGTACATCTCACTCACTTGATCCTACATACACAGTATCCTCGCCCTTATCCAAGAATTAATATCTGCACCGTCGGGTTAAGTCCGAATCCGAGTCATCTTCGCCTTACCACCGAAATCAATGCCACTGCTCTTCCCCCAATGGTCCGTGTTCAAGTTCCTACTCACCTTATATATGTTGAATGGTTTTGTTGAATTCAAGCCGGAAATTGAGCGCAGTGTCCACCTTATACCAAGGTTTAGTGTTATGGCCCCGCGAGAGTGGACGAGTGATACAGTGCTTGAGGGCTGTGAGCCTGTGACACCTTCTGGTTGAACTCATACATAGATAGACCAACTTTTTCAATGTTCAGATAATTCTCGATAACTCTTGCTAATCATTCGTTTGCATTAAAATAATCACATCTAAATTATCATCCTTAGTGACTTTATTCATAAACACCTGTGATTATGTGAATGTTATGACTTTATGTGAATTTTGGCTAATTTGCCTTGGGAGAGTTTTCCTGATGCAGCTGAACAGGTAACAAGAATGAGAATGAGAATGAAACTAAACGTACGATTGATACGCAAGACAGTACGCCCTGCGCCACCATGCAGATGTACCTGTGAAACTGGGTCGATTCAACCACGATCGAGAGGATGTCGTGGATCAGTCTGAGCGAAATGGGCGAGAAGTTATTCGAGAAAGGAAGAGTGCCACATGTCATGATAACAATATCACTGTGGAAACGAGAAAATAGTCAGGCCGGATTAGTGTAGGGACAGACCATATATGCGGAATATAAACAGACATCGCATACAACGCAAATCCCGAAGCGCTAGACTAGCGAGAGGTACACAGTGCTGGCTCTAATCCGACACTGGACACATAAATTTTGCAGAGGTAGATTAGTTATCTGTGTATCTAATCCAACAATAGGATCATATCGGAAAACATGACTTGCACATCTGAATTATGTCTGCATACATATACAAAATAGTTCTGATTAGACTCATCAGTAAATCACTCGGTTCTGTACAGAACTGTACAGAACTGTACAGTGTGACAGGCCGACAGCTTGGTCCCTTCTATACAGCTCACTACAGTACTACTTCACTCTGTAGATCTCTGTACAGATAACTCACAGACACCCAGAGAAGGGCTCTTGTACCAATAAAATATAATTGTGCCGCTGCTGCTAGCTGCTCGACTGTTCACACATGTACACACAAGCAAAAAATCGACAAAATCAATAATAGCATTCAATCAGATGCATACTACACTAAACGACGCTCGAGATAGAATCAATGCGGGGCAATAATGTCAAGAATAGAAAGACGTCAATCAAGGATGATTTTCAAATGAGAATGTCTCGAAGCGTCATTCACATTGCCGTCGACTTTGTAGGACTCCGCCCTGTGAGAACTTCATCAGCATGCAATACTTCGAAAGCAAAAACTCCTTGCCATCCAGCTGCAGCCCAGGAACGAAGTTGCCGCGCTAATTTCGGTCCATGGTAAGGGTCACGCATGATCGATTCCAGGTTAGTGAGCATAGCAGTATACAAAGAAGAGTATTCCTTTGCGGTGAACTTCGGAAATGATTTTCCGCTGCCGTTCTTAGCAAAGCCATCTAGGACACAATTAACCTATCAAACATGTGGTCAGTGTGTTGTTAGTAGGACATGGAAGGACGAAAAAATACCGCGGTGCAAACCAGTGCCAAGCACTCTAGCGGTAAAGACTTCTGGAAGACCTCAGGTCTCCTGCGAGCAACACGGTAAGACCCTGTATAGAAGAAAGAGATAGAAGCCTCGCGGAGCACAGGATGAGAGGCGTTTTCGGTTTTCCCATTTCATCTACACCGTTGCGTAAGAAAATAGCGTCTTTGAGCAACTCCGTGGCAGCTTCTTCAACCCAGGCAGCACGTGTTGGGGTGGGACATGAGATGGAGGTATGAGGTCGTACATGGAGGGCACAATACTGGCAACGGTCTTCTTGAGGTCCGAGTGCCACGTTGATAAATCCTCATACAGCTAACATAACAGCACGTTAGATATCGGATGCGTGCCAATGAATGCACACACCAGTTTTGCCATATCATGCTTGCGATCAGGCCAAATACCTGGTAGACACGTCAGTAAAATATCTCGACAGCAAAAAAGACCTACCCGCTTCGACTTGTTGACCACCCTCGAGCCATTCAACGAGCGAAGCCATGAGTATCTCGTTGATGGAACCTGTCAAATCTTTCGCTAGTTTGGGGAATGGGTTCTCTATCGCGTGTTTGGGCGCGGCACTCGCTCTTCGTAACCTCAAGGAAGTTTTTCCATCGTGGACCATACCAGCCTAGTTGAGTGGCTCTAGGCCCATCACCTGATTCCTTCACTTTTGCTGATGTAGTCTTGACGTTTGTGTCCTTTGACTTGGAAGAACTTTGTCTCGGCGTGACGTAGGAGGTCAAGAACTTGTGGATCAGGAAGTCGAGGGCGTCCATTTTTCTGGTGGTGGCGCTGTAAGACATCATCTGGCTTAGGTTCAGCCGGCTGCCAAACAAACAGAAAATTAGTAGGCTTTCAGGAAACTAAATAAACTATACCTTGGTCGCGGTATCATCAGTACTGGAGATATCATCTGCCAAAGATCTTTCTGCATTAATGTCACCTTCATCACGTGAATATTGAAAATCGAAGTCGGTTGGAAGAGCACGAGCGACATGGGGTTGAGACGGTAAATCTTCTTTTGAGAAACCTGTCACTCGTTTAGTATGTCATGATGGTGATCATTGAATTTGCTTACCAGGATGTTCAGTCACGCGCCCCTGCGCTGCTCCCCAGCCAACTTCATTGTCCGTGTGATCTTCGTCGTCGTCGTCGTCGTCAGTATTTCCATCGCCACCCCTCACTAGATGTCTCCGTGCTTTCAGCTCCTGAATCTTGCGGTCCGTGTTGACTGGCCGAAGGGTAGGATCCAGGTTCTGGAATAAGTCTGAGTTAGCATCAGGCTGACGTGCGCTAGACCTGCTGAAAGAGCCTGCTTTCTCCCTGGCTGCAGCCACAAAGGGGTTGTTGAGTGCCTGCAGGTCAGGCTCTGTACCAGGGGGAACGATGAACTGAGAAAAACCAAAGCGTGCACCCGCTTCACGATGTACGAAACTGGGTTGGAGGTTTGGGGGCTCGACAGTCCGAGGCAACGGGAGTAGTTTTCTTCGTCAATGTAGCTTTTTTCCCCGTGGTTTCGAAGGCGCAGAATCCATGGACTCGACAGTTGAGGCAACGGGAGCAGGTTTCTTCGCCACTGTAGCTTTTTCCCCCCTGTTGGTCTCGAAGGCGCAGAAATCCATCGGCTTGCCAGAGGCACTATATGGTGGAGGGGGCTTCTGATGTATTCAGAGTGATCAGTCTGTTACTACAAGTAAAAAACGAAAAAACCTTCATCCGGCCTCTCTTGCGAGGCGGGGTTCTGGATGCAAGCGGATTGGTAGGGATCCTAGAGTCGAGGGAGGTGGAGCCTTTGGGCTGGCTGGTACGTGCTGGGCACCCAAGAGTGCTCCAATGATCTCGAGTTGACTAACTCTACCTCCTGTTCCAGCACCAGGACGTCCAGAACGTCGAGTAGGCTGCTG